GGACCCATCCACACGCTGTTGGTGCCCACCCACCCGGACACGCTCGAGTAGTCATTGCCGCTGATCGTGATCAGTTGCTGTTTTGATGTTGTGTGGTCAGCCTGATGGTGTGCGACCACACGCACACTCACCACCGCACACGGATAGTTGGGACGTACAGTGGCGCCGGCGTCACGGATGCCCTTGATGGCGGCGTTGGCGCCGAGCTTGGCGGCGAGGTAGGTGATACCGTAGGGCTCGTTCATGGTGCCCCATATCATGCGCGGGTTGTCCTTGTAGAGCGTGGCCAGGCGCTGCCACACGTCGGTGAGCGCCGTGTAGGGCACTGCGGTTGAGCCGATCACCTGGTCGCGATAGCGGTGGTAGTTGTGCAGGTCCAGCAGACAGTACATGCCCTTCGTGTTGGTCACGTAGTTCACACTGTCCGTCTGTTTGTTTTTGTTTGCATTTTTTAGTACGTTGCGGAAACAAAGAAACATGTAATAGCCAAATTAAAAACATGTTAATATTTAGATACATTCAGATACATCAAATAAAACGGTGGAGGAGTACCAGGTATTGGATGTAGGTGGAGTCAAGGGCGCCGAAGAGGGTGGGCTGGGCTCGCTCCCAGATGAGGCCCACGCGGATGGTGTTCATGCCCTTGGCGGCGAAGTAGTCAATGGACTCGTTCGGAATGAGCGGGAAGTCGAACCACAGCTGGCCGGGAATCTTGTCGGCCGAAAAGCCAAGGGCCGGCTCGTTCACACCAAAGTACTGCTGGCCCATCACGCCTGCAATCAACGGGTATATATATATGAGTTGGGAGTCGTGTTCTTTTCAATTTCTATATATATATATATATGTTGAAGCAGGCTTTCTTCCAGGAAAAAGCGAGGTACCGATGAGGGACAGTGTCAGCAGGCAGAGGATTAGCTTCATCTTATGGGGCTGGTGAAGAGGAGCAAAGGTCTCCGGAGCGGAGTGAAGTTGATTTTGTTGTGTTGCCGATATTGCCGCGGTTGGCAGACCAATAGCCGCACTTGCGCAACGGATCGCAGGCTGCCCATTCGTTCAGGGTCGACCAACCAGGTATGATGTCGGATATTAGCCTCGAGGATCAGCTGTCAATCATGTTCCAAAAATCCCCGTGTGCCGGAAAAAAATTTACCTGCATGAAGTGAAAAATAAAATCAAGCGTGACTACACCAGGTGAATAACGCCGCGGCGTCGATGGCAAGACTGGTGCCTTTGTTGCCACCGGCAGTGGTGTGCGCGGAAGAGAGCGCTCAAGTTGAGCGTGAGCCGCCTGTGCGTTGTTGTGCGGCACAGGAAGTGATGGTGCGTTTTGGTGCCACAATGCCCGCGGCATTGTGCTGGTCTACAGCGTCGGCGACAGAGCGAGCTTCGACGCACTGGAGAGGCACAGATACGCCGCGGCCAGAAACTTTCGGGTGAGCGCGGGCGTGATGCTGGTGGGCAACAAGGCCGACCTGTCTGACGAGCAGCGTGCGGTGAGTGAGTCCAAGGGCATCACACTCCGATTCTTCAAAGAGGCAACCCAGGCCAGGTGTGTAGACACCGCCCTCCGCCCACCGCACAACGCAGGCAGATGGCGGAGGAATGGGGAGCTTTGTTCAGTGAGTGCTCAGCCAACACTGGTGAGGCGTGGCCGATGTGTTCGACCTCCTTGTGGAGGGCGTGATGGGCCGCTGGAGTGTGTCGGGCATGGTGACGCCTGTGTTGAGGAGCGCATGTCACAAAAGCACATTTTCCTCAAGTGATTGAACGCTGAGGAAGTCATGCAAAAACCACCATCAACACCACAATATGTGTCTGTTGAGAAATGAAACTCCAGACACACCTCACCAATAAAAGGGCTACAGAGACAATGACTCAGTTGTCTCTCATCTCTCTCACCACACACTAGCATGCTCTGCTCAACAGCCTGTGCATGTGCCCAGCTGAAGCCCTCCTCACCCAGCTCTTCCCACACCCCTGTCCCACCACCAGGCATCCACAAGTGCCAGCAGAAGTGTGCCCAGATGAAAAAAAGTCTATTGTCTGTCACTGGTTGGCCAGCCCACTTACTGGAGGGCACACTTCCGCCAGCGCTCGTGGATGCCCGGTGGTGATCTGACTTCGTTGATGGCCAACGCTTGCGCAAGAGTTATATCGCGCCAGAGCTTGCCATGGAGAACATCAAGAATTTTGGGTGTGATATTTCGCCAGGATTTCCGGCACTCCGCCAGGAATCAGCCCGCACCCAAGTTGCTTGCGGTCACTACAAAAGCGGAAATGGCTCTTTCAAACTCACCCTACAATTTGCTTCTCACTAGCACACTCCAC